AGCGAGCTAGATAACAGCTGTCATTCTCAGTTACCTTTTTTGTGTGTGGTTGTGCTGGGTGGAAGAGGGGGCTCTTATTCATTGCATTATTCTCTAAGTAAATCGTACAATACAAAGTGATTTACCCCCAAGAGAAAATGACAGCAACAAGATTTTCATTAGCATTAGTTCCCAAACAACTAATAGGAGAACAATTCTTCAAATCAGCTTACATAGAGGGAAACAGAAGCAGTCATTATCTTCCATAGCAAGTCCAACTTCTAGCACAGCATGGATATTTTAGATATTTGTATTTGTAGGATAATGAAACAGCATAATAGCACAAATGAAAAGCTGGGCTTAAATATCAGTAATTCAGACTATGCTAGCCATGCCTTTTAGCAGTTAGAGACAAAAAGCCTCTAATGAGAGGAGAAAACTCAAGAAGAATGACAATGTGTTAAGGTAGAATAAAAGAATAATTTAGGTTGGAAGGGACCTCACAAGGTCCTCTGGTCCAACTCTCCATTCAAAGCTGGATCAGTCTGGACATTTTCTCACACAGAGCACAAAGCTGAGCTCTGAATCCCTCCAAGAACGTAGATTCCACTACCTCTGAGCAACCTGTTGCGGTGTGAGCTTCCCCGCCACTCCATTGCATTGACCAGAATTTTCCTTGGGAAAAAAAACAAAAAACCCACAACTTGGAGTTGAACAGCAAAAGGACAGAAGGCAACAAATATGAAAACATCTGCCTCCTTCTTACTGCTGACTCATTTTCAAATCTGAATTAAAAGCCAATAAAAATGTAAGCAGCAGTGTTGTTTCTTTATAAGTTTAAAAGGAATCTTGTCAAGTATATACCTCCAATTTTGATTTTTCCCATGTTACCATATATACATGGTTATTTGTGAAGTAGAATAGCTTGCTCCAGTCATATGCATATTTAGGGGTTAAATCTCAACTTTCTGAGCAGTTATGGTCAACCCTCTCCTTCTGGCTGTTTTTCCTTCACTTGACTTTCTCCTCTCCCTGGCTCTTCATTCATCCTATGCCTTAAGTCCACTCTGTACAACAGGCCACGAAGAGACATTAAATGACATGAGGATAAAACTAAAGGTGTTACAGAAGTGATAGGATTCTACTATAGCTTTCCAGGCTGGATCAGAAAACAGATATCATAAATAAATAGTATTGCCCCACTGAAAGAAAGTACTTCACTGAAGACTTGCACCTGACCCTGTAACAGCCCAAAAGCCTAACAATCACTGAGCCAGAAGTAGCCAGTAGCTCATCGAGGTGACTCCCATCAGCCATCTGAAAATTCTGTCCCGGACTCAAAACTACTCTGATGCTGACACTGCTATACTCCTCTTTGAGAGAGGAAAATAACTACAAAGTAGAGCAAAACACACACCAACAAAAAACCCATCCTCTCCTTTTGAGTAGGAGTTACTATAAACTTCCCAATTACATCTCATTGAATTAAAAAACCAGTTAGGATAATGAAAACGTCACAAATTTAGCTAAAAAGTTAAACAAAGTTTAACACTGCATAAGCAAGCCATCTTAGTACTCCCATACCACATCCTTTTTTTAAGGAGTATGTCTGATGGTATTCAGACATAGAGAATGGAATACATCTGTTAATAACAAACATAAGAAATGAATTCACAGGTGAAATTACTCCAGAGGAAAGATGCAGCATGACAACATTTTTCCACCAGCCTTGTTACTCTTGGGCCACTGAGTAGTGTAACTTCAAGTTTCTTATACTAAAAGCAGGGTGGACAAGACAGATGGCTACCCAGAAGAGTTGTGAAGTGGTATGTGTATATACGAAAAGTAAAATTCTGGAATTCAGTTCCTTTTATTTTGGAACACAGGGTCTAATATAAAGTGCATTCAGTAAGCATTGTGGAAGCTGGGATCCGCCTCTTCTTCTCTCCCATCCAAATATTTGATCGCAGACAAGTGTATCATGCAACCTGCTTCATAAATTTATGATGTTTCTTTTCTTAACATATCCTATATATTTCAACTACTTTGCTCAACAAAACACCAGCTTCAACACTTCCTTTCATATCAGTGTACTAATCCAGCAACAAGTAGCTGCTGAGACGTGTCATTGCTGAATTCCTAGCAAATGCCTGCTTGCTGGGGTTTTCAATAGATATCAGGTTTGGATGCTACTGATAGCCAGAAGGGCCTGAGGTTTTAAGCCTTTCCATCTTTGTGGGCCTCTTAAATACATTAATTACAGTAATGCCTAAGGAGCATCTACAGAAAATAAGTTTTACTGCAATACATGTTGAATGTGTGTGACATTAAAGCTAAGTCTACATTAGCAAATAGCGTGGACTAATGGGAGCAGATCAGTAGAGAGAAAGTGTTGGTGCTGAGGACCTGATGTCCACACAGTGTACGTTTCATGGTTTCTATCAGCTAGCTGGTTTTTTAATTTGTCCGGGTTATATACCAAATTAATTCAGATTAAAAACTTCAAATTGTTCCTAGATAGTACTAAGGATGGAGCTGCAGTATACCGCAGCTCATTTTCCAGTAAGAGAGAAGGAAAAGGAAGATGCATCTCAACTGCCTTATTTGCCTTGAATTCTGACTTAGCATCCTAGAAACAAAAGAGTTCAGTTCCCAAGTTACTGTAAGTCTATTACAAGTATATTGCTCTAACATTTTAATGTAGTTGTGTTTAACACAGAAGTGTAGTAGCAGCAGTTTCAGTAGAAAAAGTTTGACATAAAGTACCCAAGAGATATTAGGCCAAACACAAACAGCTATTCTTGCTGCTAAAAATCTGTCAGGCAAATTCTCCCAAGCTTCATAGCTAGGGCTTCACAGCCCTGGGGACAAAAATAAGAGCTATTTGACAATTAAAGATACAAGCTATCAATATTTCCATACGACAGTCACTTTTTTTTTTTTTTTAAATTAAGTGCATTGAGTTTTATTTTCCTTCCCCAAACTGCTGAACTTGCAAATACACCTGTTTCTGATCTCCCAAAAATCACTGCAAGTTTACACTGCTTTACCAATAGTAAGTATCCAGTACACAAAAATAAGGGTCTAAATCTCTGTGAAACACTATTGACTTCAAATAGGTATTTGATGAAATTTAATACGTTAGCTCTAACTTCAAATTAAGATGGTGTTACTTTAATAATCTATTATAATGCTCTTTCTCAAGTCTTGTATGAGAAGCTGCATACAACCTGCATGTTTATCCTGTTCATCCTTCCTGGTATATCTTCCAAATATTTCAAACTCAGTATCATGGCTGGTTTTCACTGAATTCTATTAACTGGCTCCTTAATGTGACCCATACTCACTAAATGCAGAAGACCTATCAAATTTATATTTCTACATACAGTGTTTGGTGTGCACTCAGGCATTTATTTTGTGTTGCAGCTAACTACAAAGCATTAACAAAATATCCTGGTCTACAGTAAGCTTCTATCCAGTTATATTAGGTAATCTAATTTTGCATTAGGTTTTGTTACATGCAAAATCTTACTATAGGCAAAAAGGAAAATACCTTAATATAACTGAAATCTTAACAGTCTAGTCAAAAAATTATTAGTCCAGATCTAATTATTACAGGAAAAAAGAGAAGTGACCACTACTATAAAGTATCAATAGCAAAAATAGTAGTTAAAATTGTACTCATTTCCTATCTCCCCTTTTACTGATGTTTACTTACCTTTCAACTGTCCCTTCAGATCTTTGGGTTGATGGCTTCAGTTTGGGCCACTGGAGGGAATACAGCCAGTTATTAGCCACATCAAGCTTGATGTTAAGGTTGATGGCAATGGTTTCTTCCTCCTCAATCTAGGATCCACTTGGATTCAGTTTTAGGATTGCTAACACTCTCATACACCTTGCTCTTTCATTCGTCAGTCTGCAAGTTCAGATTACATCTGATTTTACTATATACAGTGCATTTTACATACATTAGATACTTGTTCTTTGTTCTGTTATTCCCCAAACTAGTTTTGTCTGGGTTTGCGTTTCTTCAACCAACTATTGGTGAGCTGTCTGTAGCCCTGGGGTCCCTGGGGTCTCCAGTGCCAGCCCATGCCCTCTTTGTCATCCCATGCCCGGATGCCTCTGCACCACATCTTGTGTCCTCATTTCTCTTAAGCCTCTGCTATCCCTTCAGGCCTGTATTCGTCTACCTTGCTACATTAAAAATGTAAATATCCCATTAAAAATTAAATATCCCATTCTGTACAGAATAATTACTTGCCACTACCAGCTATATAAAAACTCTGTTTGTGCACCATACAAACACAAGGAAAACAAAGTAGGTAGACCTACCTGGTCAGTAAAAAATTGCTATTACAGCTAAACCAAGTAAAGAGAGAGTTCCAGGCATGTCAAGATGAGTTTGTCCAAAGCAAATCTGATAGGCCTCAGTCCTGAGGCCTGGCAAAATCAGTACAAAGCTTGTGGCCTTTCACTAGCAATGGCAATGTCACATTACTGGGCTACAGTTTAGGCACCTAGAAATTCACTTTTCTCCCTTTCCCCACAACATAAGCATTTGCATTAGATTTGATAAGATTAAAACTGGAAACACACTAGATGTGTTTCACTAAAAAAAAAAAAAAAGCAAGAATATTCAATATTCCTGAAATGCTATTGTTCTGAGAAATATTTTGCCACCACTGTGTATTACCTGTTTGCTATAAAATTTGAGAAAGATACAGACACTTCTGTTGCCTGCTTATGAAATAACATTTTAGAGATCTTACAGAATAGAAGCATTATTGAAGTATTTATAACATGAACCTTCAGAAGTATGCAACTGAGAAGAAATTCCAGTTGTCAGTAATAGCATCCTGACAAGATAGCATCTCCACCTGTGCATTAAATTTTTGCTTCATTTTCAAGTTATTTGAAATTAGACTAGAAGTTATAATACTAATTTCCAAGTTATCTGAAATTAGACTAGAAGTTATAATACTAAGCAACACCAACAGAGCTTTATTAGCCTTCAAATACATACTCAAAGAACCTAATGACACTGGTAAGAGTTTGAGAATAAAAATACTTACTACATACTTCTATTAATGACAATTCTCTTCAATTGCATGACTTCATGTGGCACTAGCAATGATTCCTCAGTAAGAAAATCATCTCTGAGATGTCACTACTCCCTCAGCCCCCTTCCCCCCCAAACTATTTTTTTCCCCTCTTCATGCAAGGTAAAGAGTTTCCATACTAGTAAATCAGTCTGAGTCACTTTCTTGGAGATTGAGAAAGTGCAATTGTAAGACTAACCCTTTTGGCAGGAGAAGCTTGCTCCAGGCTCTCTGCTTGATAATTCCACCACCCCCCATCACCCTCCTTGTTGAAAACTGATGGACCTTGATCTTTTAGAAGAGACAGTTTTGACTGTAAAGTTTTTACAGCAATCAAGTTCTACCTGCATTTTGGATACAAAATTAAACAAGGGAGTTCTGAAATGACATACATTCTCCCCCTGTCAGGTCTAATGATCTCTTTCTAGAAAGGTTGAAAACCTACTGTATGAATCTATGAGCCTTCCTCCACTAGCAGCAAAAAAGCAGCTAGCAGAATTGCCCTGGCTGAATTTTCCAAGCCATGCAGTTTTACATGCTAAAATTAACTTAAAACATCTAATCCATAGCTTAGTTTTGTTCTTCTCTACCTACCACATAGTACTAAATTTGTGGGAGTAATTTGGCTCCTGATCCAAATTCAGACCTCAGTTACTCCATCTACTTAAGACAGGCCATCCAGCTTTAACCCTTTAATAGTTCATTAATTTCATACTAACTAAAATGTGGGCTACAGGAGTTTGTCCTGTTTAACAGTGGTATTTCCCACATGATTTACATAAATTTCAAAGTTTACATAAATTGAATGATGGTTACATATAGGCATGATGGTTTAGCACAGCAACATACAACTGATCTAAAAATATTCAAATACCATCTAGGCCAAATATCATCACTATCAGACAGTATTTACATAACCTTTTTAATTTCTTGCAAAACAAATTTCAACCACTACATACCAGTTTCTGAAAGATTTTTTATTTATCATCCAACCTTGCAGATACTATAAAAATAAACCATTATTTAATACTTGGTTATTTTTATCATACTTTCTAAAGCAAAAAACAGATACTCAAAAAAATAATTTTCTTTCAGTGTCCCACGAGGCATCACAGCTCTGGGTTTGTTCTATTCATGCAGAAAACAGAAGCATCTCCAAAATATGGGAGTGAGGTCTTGACAGCCTTTCCTTCCTTCCTATAAACCGCAACTCTCTGTACAGATTTTCATGAAAACTTAGTAGGGCCTGAACTGAGATGGATTGCTATCTGAAGGCGGTGGAGGCGGCGGCAAAAATGGGTATGATGGGTTGTACATGTTTGGGCCTGTCCAAAGCATATTTAGGTTCGAAGGTGGAAGGTGATGCATTTCATTAACAGAGCCAAAAACTGGAGGAGGAGGAAAGGGAGGATAGGCATACTGTTGCATCATTGGATTTTCTTTTCTATGAGGTTGTGAAAACACTGGAGACTCCTGATGCATTCTGCTGTCTGAAGAATATAGCTGTGGAGGTCTTGCTTGCGATCTCAAAAAGCCCGGAGGTGCTGATCGAGGAGGAAATGGACCCCTTGATCTGCCATGGTATCCCCTTGAGTAATTTGAAGCAGGCTGTTGCATTGACTGATGAAATCCATTATTCTCATCTTAAAAACAAAAAGTTTTACTAATATTTTGCAAAAAAATTAAGTTTAATCTCAACAAATCTTCCAAGATGCTTTTGTCTTCAAACATGAACACAAATACATTAATACATATATTGAAAGAGTCTAAAACTAGGTAAAGCCACAGTTTTAAGTCACACATGAAGTGAAGTCAAGGAAAACTGAAAGAATAATCCTAAGGGTTGCAAATTCAGTCATTAACACAAAATTTCACCTTCTTTCCCTCTATGCATTTTCATTTGCATGAATGAACCACAGGGATACTCAAATTGTGAATATTTTGAAATCTTAGGTTTAAAAAGAAGATTTAGGAGCAACAAATTTTAGAACTGAAGATTTTAAGTCCGATTTAAATCTGTCAATAGGTTTTCAAATTTTCGTTCTGCTGCAAATTGCTACTGAACTTAATATTGAATAAATATAAAAGCATACATTCAGTCCTACAAAAATCTCTTTGGTGGACTTAAAAACCCTTATATTTATACACAGGTGAACAGAATGCAAAAGTTAATTAATTTTCTACTTCAGTAGTTTATCTAATAGAAACATGAAAAATTATCATAGTTACAACTTAAATTACATCTACACAGACAGATGATATGACAGATGTGAAATCATCTACCTGTGTTTAGAGCAGGCATACCATGCGCAGCATTGCCCTAAAGTGGTATACAGCTTTCAGATCTGTGTTGGCATTAGAGCAGAGACACAGGGGACTACCTGAAATTTAAATGCTTTCCTAACATTCAAAGTCAAACTGGTATTCTGGTTTTATGTTATCATTTAAAAAATATATATATCAATGAACCCTAATACAGCTGGTTTGCGGAGATGATTTAAGCTTAAATTTAAATAGCTTTGTCAGAAGAAAGTCAGGCTGCATCTTTAGACAATTAATTTTTAGCATTCATCTTTCAAACAAATGTTTCTTTTTCTGTATAGGTCACACTGTAAGTATGTATTTAATGTTCATAACAAATGTACTACCATTTTATATAAATACTGTAAGAGTATTAATAAGATTAAGTGCTACGAAACTGTAAAATGGCTACAGCAAGAGCACTGAAATATTAAGTGTGTCCAAAGAGCTGCTAAGACATTCAAAAAGCTGTAGAATTTAAATTGACATGTGATCTGAAATGGATTTTAGGGTTAGAAGCACAAATGTACTTAGGTACATAACATTACATAAAAATCACCAAATCTGAAGAACCTTAATCGACCTCATCTTTGGCACTAAATTATATGGAAGCATCTTCCTCTTTGAAAGCTAAAGCCATAAAGATAGCTGGACACCAAAATTCCTATTCATTTTCATGGGGGGGAATTAGGATCTTGGATTGCTTTATGCATCTAGTCCTCTGGGAAGCTCTGGAGTCAAAGTACTTCAATAAATGTTTTTGTTTTTCTATCAAAGCCGCTAGCAATGAACCAGTTTTAATGCATTTAGTATTAGAGTTTTATGAAGATGTAACCAAATAAGCTTCCAACTGAGAGCGAGTTTGTGCCCCAACTTGCCAGCTACCCTTGCCGTTGAACTCCATAGATGAAGCCAAATTGCCCACAATGTCATTTTTAAAACATGCTATTTATAGAGAAACACAGCAAATGTTAATCCATGCTCCCTTAACAGACTGAGACAGCTCCTCCTGTTGTGTTATCAGATACAGAACATAGTTCAGGAACAACCTCAGCAAGCCCTAGGCAGAGGCAGGTCTGCAATGAGCTGGCAAAATAAGGTTATGGTAGAAAACATGCCACATGAAGTGTAGAAAAGCAGAAGTCAGGAAAGAAAGTCATCGGCAATGAAGGAAAATCGTCACACAGGGTTCAGACCTTTCTCCTAAAGGAGAAAGGGCAAACGCATAAGGCACAAGCCAGTCCAAGAAAGACCACAGCTTTAAGGGTTAGAAGGGAGGGACAAACTGTGTACAGAGCAAAACAGCCAACAAAATGCTTTCTGACTTCTGAGCTCAAGAGAAAAAGGGTTGAGGCATGGCAGGGGATGGTAGGGAGGGATGCTTTCTGTTAAAAAGGGAAAAGCAGCATCAAGCCTATGGCAGGAACTAGCCCAAGAAAATCAAGGGCAGGAGGGAGCACTGTACAGTGGAAAGAGGGGAAGATAGAAGCAGCAAGCTGATGCTCCAGCAGTAGAAGAAAAGGAAGCATGGGAGTGCGGGGGTGAAGAGGGCCAACAGTGTTTAAAGGGAATGGTGCAGAAAGCACGCAAAGAGGCAGGTCAGTGAGAAAGTACGTTAAGATTTTCAACTAACATGGCAGCCAAAAGCAGGCTGCATGCAAGCATGAGGTCAAGAGATTGAAAATTTCGTTGCTGCAAACGGAACACAGCAGCAAGTATATGCCTGAAGCAGATCTGCAGACAGCAGGAGAAAGGAGGGTGAAGATGACTGTGCATACTATGAAGAACTATATCTAGTTTATTAAACTACTATAGGCTAATTTACTTAATGACTGTATTGGCTGAACAAAGACTCCCAGTGGGATACACAGATAACTTAATTTTGAAGGAGAGGTATTAATGTGTCTTGGGTGAGGTAGAGGTAGGGGTTTTTTTTGTTTTAAGTCCTTGAATGCCAGAAAAAATGAGATTCCAAAGACAGGCCTATGCACTCCTCCATTTTCTCCCTGCGTTCAAATGTTTAGGTTGAACTCAGGCCCCAGTGACATCTGCAATAAATAAGCTCCACACACCATATCTGCACTGTGTGTGAGCTGACACCTTCTTAAGAGCCTCTGAGTTATCTGAGGAATGCCATATACCTATACTACTTCCCCATTTTCAATGCACTGGAAAAAAATTCATTCTCTAAAAATAAAAAAATAAAATGAGAAGCTAAAGGAATGCAGTTACAAATTCATAAATAAAACTTTGAAAAGCACAAAAACATTGATTAACAAGGATATCGTTGAATTTCAAACTAAGTTTAGAAAAAGGAAATATTCTCCCATAGTATTCACTCACTTGATTCATTTGTTTCTGATTTCAGTTTCTTCCTTATTTGATTTTGAGGCTTCTTTTTCTTTTGTTTTGCTTCTCTTTCTTTTTCATCATCACTGAAATCCAATGCCTGATTAAAAAAGTAAAAGTCAGACTGCATACAGAACTTCAACTCTAGCAATAAATTTACAAAAGACTCCATCATGCAGTCAATTTCAACTATTATGACTGCACTTTCCTTTTTTATTCAAGGAACTATCACGTTCAACTGGCTTCTCAACACAACCAAAAACCTAGCCCTTTACAAGTTTTTCATAAGAGAAGCAAACTCTCAGAGCTTCTTTTTCCTACACCATTCAAGTACTAAACACAAATTGTTAATTTTTGATTGTTTAGATATTATTAGCAACAAAGAAGAAAAAAGATCAATCATTTATACTACAGAAATATCTGAAGAGCCCATTACTGCCATCTAATTACAAGAAATAAGCCTGTACCCAAATTATTTTCATGTTATCTTCTACAGCTTACTGCTAAAAACAGCAGTGCAGATTTTAGGACATGCAGGTATTTCAACAGAGAGTTTACCAAGGGGTTCTATTTCACTCTTCCCAAGAGGCCTCTATCAAAAACAAGAAATTACTTGATTCTTACCCAAAAGAAGAGTAAAAAAGTAACATAGTAGTAGCTGAGGGATCTCTGAGGAAGCTGGCTAGTTATTCTCAAGAAAAGCTTTCAAAGGCCTATAAGTTATCCAAATTGCAGGCTAGGTAAGTTAAAATATTAATAAGCTATTAATATTAAACCAATATTAAACTCAGCACAGTTATTTAACTACATTAAAGTACACTAAAAAATACATTGCAGAAAATTTCCATTTACTGACAGTTTTAGACTAAATCTCACCGTTTAAACATCACTGTTCCTGCTAAGCTCTCAGTAGTAGTGTAATTCCAAAAAATATTCAGCTTTGAAGAATGATGTCACTTACAATACACTCAATCCAACTGCACCGTTTTGTTCCAGCTATGCAAGGTTTTGCTGGCTTTAGAATCCTAGCTTACATTTACAAGGAGAAAAGGATACTAATGATAGGAAAGAAATTCAGGAGCATAATTCAGTCCCCAAAAAATAGTTCCCTTGTCTGACTTAAGGGAGCAGGGCTTGGGCATTCTCAACAACACCATGCTAACGAAGTGCTGAAAAAACATACTTAATTCAGGAGACAAATATTTCCTGTTCTGCATAACTAGATTATATTCTTATATATGAACAAAAAAACATGAAAAATGTAACAATATGCTATACACCTCCAAGACAGACTTTTACTAACTCTTTTTTTTTTTTCCCTAAGGACTTCAATATGCCATCCTCCGATGGAACAAAAAATCATGAACAAGAGGTACCTTCTGTTGCTAGCTAATTTTCACTTGACATTCCCTAAAAGCTGTCTCACAGAAAATCTCTTCCTGCGAGCCCTACAGCAAACAGATCACATATTGCCATCCTGTGACCCTGAAGACAAGTCCTGGCAAGATTGTATTACTGAGTTTACAGTTAAACTGAGCTAAGTACAAGCCTGTCAGAAAAGAAAAACTTAAACGGTATCTCAAAAAAAATAGCACAGACAGGCCTAACATGTATTTAAGGTTCACACAGAACTAAAGCTTCATAGCATCACAAAAAGAATTAAGTTCAGAAATCCCACACAATTCCCCACGGGAGTTAACCAAAAGCGCTGTAAGAATCTACTACTAGCTGAGGGCTCTAAAAGAGTCTGACTGTATGAGACTGTTTGAAGCATCACTAACAAAACTTTATCTATATCCTTTCCAATGCCTTGTGCCTTTGAGGCAAAGGCAACCCTGTACCAGCTCAGTGGTTACAATCTGGATTTTAGCTTACACTATATCCAGTAAAGCTGCCCAGAGCTAGTTAATCATCACAAGATGTTAGACTTGGGTTGTTTTGGAGAGAACAACCCACACAGACACATCATAGTCAGACCCACCGCTACAACAAAGGTGTCACACAAAGCAATTGACTGTCCTCAGCCATCACTGACCTCTTTCAAATTTCCTTCCTAAAACAAAGTACAGTAAATCTGAAGTTCCCTCTGTACATTCATGTTCATGGCAAGGAAAAAGGAGTCAGATGTGACCATGCACCAAGTAGCCTGTAACATTAATAGAACACAGGACAATTCTGGCCTCAGAAGCTTGCAATCAGATTGTGAGAAAGTTTCTGCATATTAAGAATGATGGCACTGACATCAACAAATATCAGCTTTGGAAAAAGTCATGACTCCATGTCTACAAAAGACTTGACTCTATACCGCCAAATATTAAAGTTTCTTAGGTTTCCACAAATTCAAAACAAGCATTTAAACGCTTATTTCCTGAAAAGCTTTAAAAACACTACTAAAACTAGGAACAGTTACTATTAGCCAATAAGTACACTTTAATATCAACATGAGAAAGTCACTCTATGAAATTAAGACTAGTTATAAGGAAAATAATTTATAAGTATATAGAAACTTTTTAAACTATTAGCACATATATACAGTCTACTTCTAATTCTCAAATGACAATGCTAATACAAGAAAGGGAGGCAATTTACAGAATTGTCAGACAAGTATTCTTAAAGAAAAGTCAATGCTGCTCAGTTCGACTCATTTTTGTGGGAAGAAAAAAAAGAAAAAGTTTCAAAAAACATCCTCACAATATCGAAAAAACTGATGTTCTCGGCTGACAGACTTATGCCATAAGACATTTTCAAGCATAACAAAGCCTGCATCACAGCATTTCTCCATCAAGTCAAAACAATTGGCTTGGAATAAAGATTGCAAACGTAAGAATTGGTTAGAACATGAAAAAATTTCCTACCTAAGAAATTGAGCAAGAAATACATACTGAAGAACTATGTTAACATCACAAACTTTCACAGAATTCCCAAAAAGCAGCTCATAAATCTTTTTAGGACAGTCAATGCTTTCAGAGATTTCACCTGTTTTCTTTGGGCAAGGTAGGCTCGAAGTAAAAATTGCAAGAAAAAAATGACTCAAGTTTTGAGCTAGAAAACAAATCAGTCTCATGGAAACATCTCAATGAAGCCACCAGCCTTGGGCCTCTTAAGGAAGAGAATGATCATAAAAAGCATCTTTAAGAGTGTGGTTAAAGAGCACTGGACAAAAAAGCCTGGAGGTCCCTGAACAAGTCTTTAGAGACCCTACAGTTAAGTGGTATTGAATGAGTGTGAGCAAGGAGCTCCCTCTCCAGGTTACCCTGTAGGACTTCCTTTGTATGAAAGAAGCTCACCTCCTCTCACACAGTCAGCATTCCATAAGAGGAAGCAGTAGGCAAACCTTGCCAAGGAGAAGGCAACAGAAGAGGCATCAAGTTAATCTAACAGAGCAGGCAGCTTAAACATCCTTACAGTATTCTACAAAGCATACCACTTGGCCTTTAAGAAAAAATTGGGTGAAAGACAGCTGCAGTGAAAGAACAGCAAGAACAAGAAATCTCTATCAGAAGGAAAACTATGGGGCAAGCTAAAAGCACTGCTACTCAAAGCTCAATACTGATTGCCAAACATGGTCTTGAAGGACCAGAGGAACTGAAGATCAAGACACAAGTTTGTCTAATTGCAAAAATAAGTAGGAAGTAAGACAATTAGTTCTCTCTACACTGACTGGGAGATCGGCTCAAAGGAAAGCATATCATCTTTTCAACAAATAAGCATATCCAACTTTTGACTGCATAATAGTAAGCTTACTAATTAAATAGTTACTCTGCGCAGACATTTTTCTATATATATTTTTAGGTAATCAAAACTGTAAATAAAAAAAGCCATCATTACCTCCGGTGGTGGTTCCTGGTCATTCTTCCAAGATGCATCTGACCCTTTTTCCCTAAAAAGAAAAGGCGCAAGTTAGACAGTCAAGAAGGGAGATGATCTAAAGGAGAATGAGAGATTTCTTGTTTGAATCATGTAGTAGCAATATATTCCAGCTTAAAAATAACTTACAAGAACTGTACTGTAGCAGATAGAGCAATTTTTTTTTTTCAAGGTATCATCTGTTAAAGCAAAGTTGCCCATTTTAAAAGGAAGCACTTGTTTCTGTGAGTCATTTCTAAGCTAATAGTAACATTTGTCAACTTATGTCTTCAGAACATTCACCACTTGCAAAACGTTCCTACTTTGGTTGAAGATGGAACATTTTGCATAGGTAATATTAAGCTTTGAGCAATATTCTCTCAACATATCTTGCTGATGCCAGATTGTCCAGCTGAACCGGGATCATTTATTGCAATTGTCTCATGCTACCTACAGTCACCAGCTTTCTTATTCTTCCCTTCCACTCCTTTGTATTCAGAACATATTTCCAGTTGAAAAGGAAAATGAAGTAGTCCAGGCAGATGCAAGCTTTAAGCATACCTACAGCAAAGGAAGCTTGGAATTAAAACTTACTACTTGCAAAATGCGAGTACTTATAGGCAAAAAATTAGGTCTAAGGCCTTCAATAGGTGCTCTGGTAACCACAGGTTTCACGTGTTCAAGAAACCAGTGACAATCAAGCAGCAATAACAAGATCAAAATATGTAACAATCAGCTCTAGAGAGCCTAGGCTCAAAAGGACCATAGTCAAAGATGGTCCGAAGAACTCGGGCAAGTCATTTGGAGGTACTTTGTGCCTCAACCCCTATCCGTAAAACTGAAGCTCAGTCTTCACATATCACTAGAATACCATAATCACAAACAGGTTGTGCCTTTATAAGCAACCCGTATTAGCATGCAAACCATTCTAAAGTTACAGGGAAGAGAAAGATGAGTACTTCATATGACTAATTTCTAAGCTGCAGAAAAATATTTACCTATGCAATGATGGAGAGTAACACCCCTCTCATTATGAACAAATTTCTTCCCTCCTTTCTTCCTTTTGTTACTTTAGCATAATAAGTGCCTGCGAGAAATATCAGACCATACAGGAGGAAGAAACAAAAAACCACACACACCCCCCACCAAACCCACACCCGTGGGCATTAGACAATATGGAGTACTACTAATTGCAAAGTCTGCGTCTTAAATTTCACTGCTCTTTACACAGCTTATCTCACTATGACAAGTCGGTGCAAAGCACAAAACATTTTAAGCTTTGAGATATTTAATACTGACTGGTTCTTTACAGTAAATTAAGCCTTTGATTTCTGAACTCAGATATTCCAAGACTAAAACTAACAAAAGGTGGACTCAGAGGAATCATGAACATCCATGAGATTCTTCAGAATCATTTCATGTATCAGGTAATACAGGCAAAACTAGCAAATCTGTTTTTAGCAGTAGATTACTTGTCAATGGATAGTGCAAAACTTTATGAATGACACTTCAATCTATTTGGCTAAAAAAAAGGAATTCAACATGAATACTGGCAGAATTGCAATTAACACAGACACCAGTATTGCTAGCTGTGGTCAGAAATATTTACGAGCCAGATAAGAACTAATACTAATAAACTGATTGGGTCACACGAGTGTGATAAAGGTCATTTTTTAAAACCTGTAGTTATTTCAGGCAATAATTGACAGGCAATTAGAAAATTAACATCTAGCAGCCATTTATTATGCTCTATTTCTTAATCTTTATCTTTGAATAGGCCTCTTTTGAAACAGTGAAAAACACTCCTTATCTACTCATATGTTCCATTTTATTCAAGTAGATTGAGACACAAATACTATCAAGAAGCATTTATTCATATGTTCTATTTTACTTGAGTAGAATATGAGACAAATACTATCAAGAAGTTCCTGAACATCGTTGTACACTGCCACCCAAATCCCACCCCCTTCCTCAAGTTTACAGCAGGTAATTTGCCATATAAAATTGTTATTCTCAATTACCAATAAAACTGTTATGCGGATAAAGTTTCAGTTCTGGCCTTGTAACTGAAATAATTATAGTAAATGAATGCCAATAGGCCATCTTGTTCAGAATTTATTATGATCAAGTTCACTGTAGGATATTAGACCATAAGAGTGGTCTCACTAAAAAGTTAGTAGTGCTACACAACAAGAACTTACAAAATCAGAAAAAAGTTCATCTTGCAAAACATGTGTGTGTATGCATCAGAGGGTAGGGGAAATGAACCAAGTTTCTTCAGAAAAACTGTTTCTGGTTACATTTTAAGTAGCACAACAATACGAAAAGAATAAAAGATTAACACGTTATTTTGAATAAGGAGTTTCTAAACTTCAGTAATTTTAACACTTCAATAGCTTGTAGTTTACAGCTATTCTGCACTGATCTCAAAAGCAAAACAGTACAATCTTATTACAGCACAGTTGAGTTCTAGTATCAAACCTATTCCCTACAGTTTCTCACTCATCAAGGCTAAACTTAAATTCAATATTTTTAGCGGCATTAAAAAATTATAACCAGGTTAGAAAATAAGTCAGACTCACTGCGTTAGTTTCTCTGCAAATACATACTGGGTGAAGTCCTCCACTGACGGAGCAAAATACATGCTGTCTTGCACATTAATACCTTTCGCTTTGATGTGCTCAGAGCTGTTAAACCTCAGCACATAAAAGGGATGTAAAACAGGACCAAATATCTCAAATATCTGAAACAAACAAGACATATTTTAATAAACCACCAAGAACAGAGAGCTAATTTCACTGTAGACAACTGTGAAGCTTTAACATATTTTGTATTTAAGAACAGTGCTTGATATCTTTCAAACTGCAGCACCAAATAAAGTCATCTTCAATCTATATTTTTTTATAACCTCATTTTCTCTGTATTTCCTCAACTGCTGTTTAAATTAAAATGTGAAAGAGTATGCATGCACGCACATCCACTGATATTGCCTTCACCCATCCAACTGCAACACTTTTGCTGCCCGTTTCATTTATCATGGTAATCTTCATTTTGTCAAATCTCTATTCTTCTCTTTCCACTTTTGCTTTCAAATCTTTTACACACAGAACAATCTCCTGACTGTTTATTCCTCAAAATTCATTGCTACAAGAAGCCATTAGTTCTTATGCATGTTCCCTAATGCCATGGAGGGCAGAGAATTCTGAGATGTTCCAGGGAACATGCACAATTTCAGCCAGCATTTTCCTGTGTTTCACTCACATTTAGTGTAAAAGAATATTAATGTAGTGAAAGTTCTGGATGATGGCCTTCCTCCACTGGAAAACACACAAGATACAACGCAATGCCCCCCTCAGCAAGTATTCTTCATACACTTGCATATAGCACACATTGGTCTAGAAATGGAACAGGCAGCAGCAGAGAACAGCTGTGTTAACTTTCCCCATTTTTCCTGGGAGTAGACCCCAAATTCTCCAATCTTTCCCCTAACTCCTGCTAATAAAAGAGCATAACCTATTAATACAATATTTGAATGCAATCACTCCCCTTCCACAAGCCCTCTCATAAAATAGCAGAAATTTATCATATCTTGCAATTCAAAAGGGGTTTCACAAAATTCAAGCCAGCAATTTTAGAGATTAAGTAAATGACTATAAAGAAAGTGACTGCATAGAAACAGTCAAAAGCACAAAGAAAAGTAGAAATTAAGACTCTTATTTTAAATCTTTTATTTAGTTGACTTCAAGACTATTTGCTGGAACATGAAATACTTTATAACATTTTTCATGCTTTACCCATACCTTTCCTGCTGCTTGCCGATCTTCTTTAAAAATTATGCTGTCTTCATTTACTGGAGGTAGACCTCTCAGAGATTCAATTATTACTAAAACAGGAAAAAAAAAAATCTTCAGTTAGAGCTTTATGCTCTAACAAACAGCAGTATGTAGTTAATCAGAAAGAAATGTAAAAAACACACAATTATTTTTAAACTAAACTTAATTAGGCTTCACTCAAAAATCCTTGCACATGCACTAAATTGCTTAGCACTTGGAGAAGGAGTTTATAACTGTAAGATTTACACTGGTTTACAGAATTATTCTTCTCCAGAGAGGGAAGAAGAAAGGAGATATGATATTAAAAGGTACAGAAGAGGAGTCTGAGATGCATATATGTGAAACATTTGTTGTATTTCCACAAGCCATTTCATATTCGAGAGCACAGCAGCAGTAATTTTTTTTTTTTAAACTGTAAATGCACAACTACCTTCTTGCTATTCCAAAAAAAATCCCCCAGGAAAAGAGAATGAAGATAACTATTTGTTATGGCTTTTCCTAGCAGGTCATAAGACTCAGCCTAGAAGACAAAAGTGCAGCAGTCCCTAAGTAGCCACTGGTGGTGTCATCCATGTATGAAGATACACGATTTAAAACACATTCCTAAATTTTAATGTCATAATAGTCATATACTACATTTAGGCCTAATCTATGATTAATGAAACTATGAGTGGTCAGATAAAGCAAGCCCTTCTAATAGCTCGAACATGAAATCTTAACACTTAAGAGACTTGTGCACTTACAAATGGACACAAAAGTATGTTCCTGTTGTGACTGAATACAGGATGTGATATGTAGGTTATACAGTCACAGCATTCTTAGGTTTTCCAGATTCAAAAAAGTAAAAAGCTTATTCTTTACTAAAACCTTGAGAATAGTTTGTTCTTGTATTTGTTTTTTGTTTACATCTGTTGCTTTAGTCTACAGAAATATTTCAGTCTTCCATTCTGCTTAAAGCTGTCAATACAGAGACCTAGCAGCATTACACTCAAATTCTGAATTCAGGTTCTGAAGGTAGTTTTCTCCACCTCTAAGACAGCATAATGCTCAATTAAGCATTCTCAATACCTCTCCACCATCAAATAAAGTCACTCAAGCATACAGTGTCACTATAAAACTCCACTGAAAACAAAACTGTCTTTGCTAAATTTGCATAAAAGGACTTAAAGCAATGCTCATACACCTCACCATGCTAAAATACTCAGGCTTCACTACTACTTCAGCGCACAAACATCTTGCGACATGTCAAGCTGTGACAATGCTATAGGCTTAGATTTATTGAATTACATGCAAGAGAGGTAGGGAAATTGGTTTATTTTCTGCCCACCTATAATACAAAATATACAGTAAAAATAGCCAGTATATCACTTAACTCTCATGAGAAAAATGCGTTAGAAAAAACAACTAGACCTCAGAGAACACTCTCAGCTTGAAATAATCATTTATAGCTCCCACCCTCAAGCAGGCTAGGGAAAACATTCTGCAAATGCAAATCATGCCAGTCCCATGAAACCCAAGAGAAACATTACCACCTACAGCCTATTTGGCTTACAACTCCCCCCACACACCACACCACCCAAAACCCTCAGCTTCTGCTTTTCCATAACCCAAAGCGCAGTCCCAGGGCAGGTTTCTCAAGTATACCCAAGCTGTTTAGTTTCCAGACTACAACCCACACCCTGATTTTCCTCTATTCCCTTTAAGTACCTTGCAGCAAAACACTGCAAAGTTCTGTGAAATTCTGATATGTTGAGCAGAAGTTAATGTTCACAGACAGTTTTATTATCTTGCTTTTAGTTACTGTGAAGCAAGCACAAATCTGTATTATTCATTCTAGCCTTGAATTCATTTCACAGTATGAAACAGCCTACTTATAAGACGCTATCACACTGCAGACTGATGAACTCTGAAATTTGCTGCAGAGAACAGCAGAGATTTCTGATAGACAGAAGGGACAGAATATTCAAGATACTAAATTATTGCCAAAATATCTGCGTTCCAAACGGGACTTTAATCCCTGCTCCATATCAGAAACAAACCTTATATACACTTAGGTATCAATTTAGTTCAAAATAAAACAAAACACCATTAGCTGGCAGAAATTGAAACTAAAGCCACTGAGACATCCCCTTCCAGAAGGCAGGAAGGGGAAGGAAAAACATATAGGCAGAAGAACTCACAAAACAAGCTAGTAAAGTCTAAAAATAACACAGGTATATTGGGTTTTATTTCACACTCATGGGTTTATTTCATGTATGATTATTATTCTGTTTTCTAACTTAAAACAACCAATATGGCCTGCTGAGTTTATATATTTCAGTTAAATAAAGCAGAATGTAAATTCAAGAATTCAGTTGTTAGTGAACCGACAGACTGGAAAAGGTTCAACTCACTAGTAAGGATGAGAAATTAAAGCTGGCTTTCAAAATTAAAGTATTTACAAATAGCTTTATTTAAACATTCACATAATTTGATCAGAAATAATGGCAAACTATCATTCAGTCATTTCCCTTTTAAGCTCTTTTCAAAGTATTGTCTCAGCTAAAAACAGCCCTGTTGAAGAACCCTATTCTTATCTATAAGCAAGAAAGGACAAGTAGAACAACGACAAGATCACAATCTTCAGTTCTTTCAAGCCAGCTTCTGTCCCATGGATAAGATTAAGCCTCACTCAAAACCAACAAAAACTTTGCACCAACAAAGTTATTGCAAAGGAACTGTCTGCATTACTAGGAGTATTTTATAATAAAACAAATTTTAAAAGCAAAGGCTATCCAATTGAATTTTTTGGTACCTTAAACTAAACAGTATTTAACTTCAGAACTAATTTCAATTTCCAACTATCATTAACAAATTGCTTTGAAAACAGTTCAACGAGTCTGGAACCTTTCAAATAAGCGTAAGGACAAACATACTATAAAAATTTTATTAGTATCAGCTTCTGCAGAACTTCTATTTCACTTATCAAAGTCTGAGGTCCAGGCAGACCTGAAAGTGTCCCTAAATGCCTGCTGCCTACAGCTAAGCTTACATCCATTGTATGTTTCAATCCTCTTCAGGCTTACCCTCCAGCATCTATAAATCATGTTAGTCATGCTGTCCTATGACTGCTGACACCAGCAGCTTGTATTTGGTCAAGGTGCCAGAATTAGGATGAACAGAAAAAAGACGAACGTGCACAATATAAAAATTACCCAACGAGCACTGCTAAAGAAACAAGTCTTTTTTCGGTCATCATACATTAAAGATCAAGCACTGGGGACTGACTTGTACTGTATCTGTACTTCCAGTTATCCACCTCCTTCAAAAACAATTTAAATATAGCACAGTATAGCTATAGCATAGATTAAAGATTTCTTAATATATTTTAAGTGTTCATCCTATTGTTCCTAGAAGTAACACAAAAGTCATAATACAAGGCTAAAAATTTTTATGAAAAAACTAGAACACGGGAGTCCCACTAAACCATGTGCAGTTAATATTCATGATACCTTACACTTAAAGGCGTATTCCCAATAGCCAACTAAAAGAATTCACCAAAAATATAATTTCTGGTCTATCCATTAAATGAATTTGCATTCAGCAATCTGCTACCCCTTTCCTATACAAGGACAGTGTATCAAATATTTAACAGCATTATGAAACAGAATACTGTAGTACTAACATTTTGAGGGAACAGTTAAATGCACAATATAAACAAAATATTTTAATCAAAAACGCAAAGTAAACATATCGCCTACCCAGCTGTCCAATAATGCTTGAAACTGTCCCAAAGAGCTTCAGTTCAACCTCATTAGGCAGTATTACTGATAAGTCTTCAACAGGAGGCAGTTCCTGAAAATGAGTCAATATTCAGAATACAGTCTTTTCACAGTAAGACATTCATCACTTTGTTACTGCATAAATTTGACCATCCTTAAAACCCACTAGTATTTTGAAGATTTAATTAAAAATCTACACTTTGGAAATGTCTCCTTCAGAATAATTCTAAGTTAACTTATTTTGGGGAAAATGTTAACTTTGAAGACATCCTTTCTGTTAAGGCACTGCTCTACATATTTCCATCACCACTGAAGTAGAACCCAATTTTATTCAACTGGAGAAAACCAAGCAGGAGTGGGAGTTTTGTTCTTTTTTCGAACTTTCACATTAGATAAATCAAGTTCAATATATGACACAGTAATTACATAATCAGTAATCACAGACCAAGTAACTTCTAAACACATTCAATACATGACAAAAAATTACATAGCAAGAGATAAAGTAGCATGAAGTACACAAGATATATATTATCTGATTTGACAAAATGGCGTCCATGAATTCCTTGACTTGAGCCATTATAAAAATGTCAAGATCACAATAACCTACACAAAGAAAGTGATTTTTAGCTGAAAGTCGTATTTGGTAAGGGTAATCTTAGAGAACATTTTTGAAAAAACACCAAATTTTTGAAAAAAGCCACATTTCAGATACACAGTTAGAAATGAGTATTGCATAGTATATATTCTTCGAATTAAACATTTTCCTTAAATGTAAGGATAGCAATCTGCTATTAAATATTCTGCAAAACGAAATTCATCATCTACTTCCAATTTATTATAAACAAGGTTTCTATGCAAATACTACACTACTGCAAATTCAACATGGATTACATGGAATACAAGGTAAGGGCAACCTTACCTTGTACGTATTACCTTCAAACTCAACATCTGCAATTGGAGGTAGTCCTAAGTTTAGCAATGAATTGCATCTTTAAAATTCATCTCTCATTTCTAAAATAGAACTCCAATAAAAGAATCTTATCTTGTCTCTTACGAACAACTTCACCCGATCATGTTCATTCTTAAGGTAAGTCCTTGACAAAGACTGCTAAGAGCAGATCAAAAACTAAACTGAGGCCAAGTCTTTTCCAGATCATACAATTCAGCACTAGAGTCAAGACGAGAATTCGAATAGAAACACCCACATGCTTTCAGGACAATAAGTGCTCTAACATTAAAACCAAATTCACTGCTGAGACTTAACTTAATCATAACAAGTCAAAGTAAAGACCAGAAAGCTTATAAGATTTTGGTCACAAAACTCAAATTGTGGAACAGCATAATCTGTCATATTATGTTCAGTATCTGCCCGTTCTGCACTTCAAAGTAGTAAGTTTTCTAAGGTAGTTTCATTAGTATTCTTTAATATAAGCAGATTTTTCCCTTGTGCACATATTCTAATCAAATAGACTTTCTTTAATCTTTACTTTATCTTTGACCCATGCTTTAGCAAATCAGCTATTATTGGAGACTTCCCGGTAAAAGCATAGCATCCTACAAAAAAGAAAATGCTTCATTTTTAATAATTTTAATTTTTAAAATAATACACATTTAACAAAGTGATCTACATCTTTACACGGAAAAATTTTTATTACTGTATTATAGCTTAGTACAAGACAGTAAATCTAGTTGCTAGAACTAGTTATCAAAAGCTTAATTACAGTTTTGTTCAACCATTGAAATTGTTCTAGTCTAAAATCAGTACTTAATGAAGCTTTTTTGTGATCAGTTGGACTTGAAGATAGAAAGATAACAGGATAAAACAGTAAATCAGAACGTTTTCACACTAACATGAATAGTATTTAAGTCAATACATTGAAATTGGTGAAAGCTATTAAGTACATCTATTTGAGCAAGTATTTTTGTTCAGAAGTCCAATGCTGTTAAAAAATGTTCTCATGGAAGCGTTTATGGTTCTATTACTGTCACAATTTGAAACGTGTGTGTAAACAGATGTAAGCAGAAGACTGACATTTTACTCCTTCCATTAGTTGCTAGCTTTAGAAAGCTGAAAATCTTTCTGTAACTTGTTCCAAAATACTCTTATGTTTCTTCAGTGCAGCTAGCTTCTTGGTTGAATATATTCAGACACAAATACAAGTCCCTACTGCCTTACATTTCAATGTAATTGATCTTCCATAGCAAGCAGTGAGAATTAAAAATTTCACCAACAGTGAGCATAGGCTAAGGAACTAGTGTTCAAAGGATCCATCAGGTATCTACCACATTGGAGAGCCATGTAAAACAATACCATCATCCCTGTCACTCAATTTCTTGACTTACCTTGAGCAAAGCCCTTGCAACCCAAAACCAAGATCTCAGTACACAATGGTATATCTGTTTTTTCTACACTTCTAGTCATCTCTTGTACCCTTGTTTGGGCTTCCATCTAATTCTAGAACATACTTTTTATGAGGGGGAAAGATCTACTCTGTATCAAATAACTGAAGATGATGTACTGTTAATGTATAAATTGACATTAAAGCGTTTTATTACCCTTTTTATTTATGATCACAAATGATTTATCCATTATCAGATTATCACTAAAACTCATTCTTTTAAACGCCTTAACTTTGAGATTATGAGTAATAATGCAAACAATAGTTAATAAGCATATTATTTATGAGAATAAAGAGCAAGAGCTAGTATCTCAATGCAAAGTAAGGTTGTGATCTCCCGTAACTGGAGCAGAATGGTAATAAAAATAACAACAAAAATTACAATTTTTAACAAATACAAAACAGTTCTATGACAACTCATAGCTTTGATTAAGTGAGAATATGCAATTTGAATCTCTGGTAGGCTTGAGAAGACTTCTAAAATTTTCACATATTTGAAATTTATCTGCAAGATGCATCAGACCTTCAAGTAACCCTCACCAGATAAGGGCAGTGAAAGTCTGCAATATGCAAACAAAAAGGGTACTGTAATACCTTTTCCAGAATCTTATTTTCATAGACATCATCCAACTGATTTCGTACAAATCTGAACCCAGAATAAGTAGTACCTCTCACTTCAGAGGGATCTTAATATATTGAAAGAGAACACGTTTCAGTTATTAACTATGCTATACCTAAATCAGTGTAGAAACGTACACTCAATCACTGTTTTGTGACGACTTAAATATTTTTAAGTTAACGTATGTTAAGTTGGTTTACTGTAAAAAGGCTTAAAGGACAACACATTTTACTTACATCAAGAGGCAACTCATCTTTTGTTTTAACACTGTAAGATCTGTTATCCTTTTCACTTGGATGATCATCATCATCAGATACTGTTGAAGGAGAATGTGAAGAGGAAGAAGATGTAGTTGATGAACTATCTGAATCTGTATCACTGAATAAAACAAACACTGAAGTTAGAATATGGACTTCTACCTTACAGTTATATAAACAGTGGCTAGGTTATAAATTACCCAGTTATATTTGGATATCAGATATATTTAAGCAGCAACCTCTTCTGAACCTACAAGTTACTGGCCAAGAGCACAAAAAAACTGAGAAGAGTAGTGGCTTCAGCAGTTTGAGGAAAGGCTAACAATTACAATGGCTTGCTCAGGTTCCCACTGTTTCACTGTTGAATGGTGCATGTGACATGAGAGCAATCATCTCAATAAATTCTCCTAGTCCACTTTCTCCTCCCGGCTATGCAATGATAGGTGTATCCAAGAGTCCAGTGTCCCATTGGCACAGCTCCTATTATGAGACATATGTGATAAGTGCAAGTCCCAAACTGTACTGTAATAGGCTTGAAGTGAAATGAAACAGGAGTCATAGGATGATCACCTTAGTGCAGCACCTAGTAAAACAGCCAAATTAGGAGCACACTGTCTACACGCTACAAGCGCATCTCCATTTCATGCACCACTTAAACTATCAATATTTAACATTTTCCTACGTAACTAAGCACAAAAGAAAGAGAGAGAGTACATTAAACTACCTGTCACAGCTCAAAGTCATTCTGGCTGTACATCCTCAATATTAGGCTGAAGCTAAGTGATAGCCAAAAGACTTGTTTCAAGAGAAGCACCTTGTGCCACAAAGGAAAGCAAAACCCACCCACACATTAATTTCAGAGATAAGAAGGAATGAATTCCGTAACTCCTGCCCAAACTCCCCAGCTATGTATTCACAGAGACTAGTCATTTCTTTTTTCTAACTGGCACATACGTAAGAGATGTTTACAGTCCTCAACTCTTAATATTCCTGTTAAGAGCCAAAGAAAGAAACCAGTCATTATTCATATCGGTACGTTCCTTTTAGCACAAGGCTAGGTTCTCCAAGAGTTAGTGTGAAAAACCAGTAGTCAATCCTTGTGGCTGACAACACAAGTTGCAAGTTTATGAAAGTTTGCTTGTGTCAATGTATGTTTGTTTCTAGGTTTGCATCTATCCTTTCTTACCTAGTCTGACAGTTAGTAAAGGCAGATTTAAAAACAAAGTAATAAACTACAAAAATATTCCCTTTTAAATTCTTTGATATTGCATTGTCTCTTTCACAAGCAAACTGATGGCACTGAATCACCTGTTGCTGCTATTTCTTCCACAAATGCTAAGAGAAAGAAAACAAATAAGAGCACCTCCCAGAAGAGACCCTTTGAAAAAGCCAAGTGTAGACTTTTTGGAAGAAAATCAACATAGATAATGTAGGTATGGAACAAAATTAGTGAGATTACCAAAGAGAATTAAAAAGAGGGATGAGTTGCAGGGAGCCAGCCAAGCAGGCTAAAGCTATAGAAACTTCATCTGAAATATTCATCTGGAAATTGGAGCAAAGATTCTGGAAGCAAAAAAACACTATAGATGAAACCCCAGCCATACTTCAGAAATCTTGCTCTCCATCTCGTCCTGATGTTCTAGAAAAACTTGAAGGAAGCAAACAAAGTACTTCCCCAGTCAAGCTTTAATTCATTAACTATTAATGAAGCTCAGTGTCCTCTTTTTATGAACAGATCCTTAGACTTCACATCAGTCACCATTACTTAGAAAGAGCACATTTCTTGCTGTTACAGAACTGCAGTGGCCAAAGGAAGACACAGAACTCATTAAACCAGACAAAAAAAAGTGCCAGCTACACTGAACACCAAAGCATAGCTGTGAGTAGAACAGAAACCCTTTTACAAACACATATAGGTTGAGAATCGCCTTTTCTATTGAGGTGTCAACATCTGAAGAGTAGTTAAAGATCTGCACTGTACACCCTTACTTCGACTCTTACATTCAAACTTTTTCCAACAATAACACAGAAGCTGTCTTATGAATGATGTAGGAGCACCCCAAGGGGACAACATCAAACAAAACTTATTGTTTGTGGCCTAAATGCTAATGTTTTCTTTCAAAATCATGTACCCTCAAAGTCGTTATTTTGGAAACTTATTAACAAAACAATGCCTCCATCACCACAAATGCGTTAGCCAAATACAACGGAAAGTATTGTTTTTAACTATACACCCTTTGCAGATAACTAATAATCTCCAGTATGTACTTCTATGCAAACTTTAAAAAAAGCATAGCACCTGTAAATGTCTCTTGGTTCTCTTAATCACAAAAGGAGTTGAAATCAAACCACAAAAGTAATGAACACAAAGACACAAAGGAGCAGCAACTCAAGCATCTCACTTGAGAAAGTGTTAAGCTGAAAAACAGGTAGCTTGAATACCACGAGAGGAACAAAAAAAATCCTACCACAAAATGCAATCAGTCCACACACACCCCAGCTGAGCCTAAGAGTGAAACAATCCCAAAATCGCCTGGGAAGCTCAAGAGGTTCTTCCTCCAGCTCTCAGTAGACTCACAGTGGGAAAGAGACAAGGAACCAGAGCACAGGCATTCATGGGGGAGAAGACAAACGCAGCGCTGAGGTACAGGGCAAGCGGCCTACACCTCGGCGGGCACCGGAGGCGACGCTCCGCTCGGCCCCTGCCGGTGCG